ATGTACGTGGCCATCCAGGCTGTGCTTTCTTTGTACGCATCTGGTCGTACCACTGGTATCGTCCTCGACTCTGGAGATGGTGTGTCTCACACTGTACCCATCTATGAAGGCTACGCTCTCCCCCACGCCATTCTTCGTTTGGACTTGGCTGGTCGTGATTTAACAGACTATTTAATGAAAATTTTAACCGAACGTGGATATTCTTTCACCACCACTGCCGAAAGGGAAATCGTCCGAGACATCAAAGAGAAGCTCTGCTACGTGGCTCTGGACTTTGAACAGGAGATGGCAACTGCTGCTAGTTCTAGCTCTTTGGAGAAGAGCTACGAGCTTCCTGACGGTCAAGTCATCACTATTGGAAACGAAAGATTCCGCTGCCCGGAAGCCTTATTTCAGCCTTCCTTCTTGGGCATGGAAGCTTGTGGAATTCACGAAACTACTTATAATTCTATAATGAAGTGCGATGTCGACATCAGGAAAGACTTGTATGCCAACACGGTTTTGTCGGGCGGTACCACGATGTACCCAGGAATCGCCGACCGTATGCAGAAGGAAATCACCGCCTTGGCCCCATCCACCATGAAAATCAAGATCATCGCACCTCCCGAAAGAAAATATTCCGTTTGGATCGGCGGTTCCATTCTCGCTTCCTTGTCCACCTTCCAGCAAATGTGGATCTCCAAGCAGGAGTACGACGAGTCTGGGCCTTCTATCGTCCACAGAAAGTGTTTCTAAGCCCACATTCAATCTTTTTTATTTATTATATCGTTTTTGTCACGAGAAATTTTCGTTTTTTCGAATATTTGGTCAGAACTGCCGCATTTAATGCTCGGTATTAATTAATGTGTACTGAGTGTTAGCAAATCGGACGGACCGTTAGCTTTCAAACAAAAGTATTACGTTTATAAGTTTTTACTGTACTTTTAGTTACTTAGGAATCCCATACGAACTACTAAATACATTTCTGAACTTCCAGCGGACTTTCTTTTACAACCACCCAAGTTGGTCAAAGTATGCATGCAACTTGGTATCAAAGCATTATGCTTTGTGTTAGTAACCGCATGACACACCCTGTAGGCGCAAAATCATAGAAAGGAAAATGCTGTAATAAGTACATTCCTATGCACTGTCTACGTATGAGTGGAAAATGATTGTGCAATGACACATTTATCGTACCCGTGGGCATATGGGTAAACCGGCACGAAACCATGTAGAACTCGATGAATACAAGCGAAATGTACCGTTCTGTCAATATACTTTATCTAGCCGCAAACACACCTATCTTATGACTAAATTAAGTCGTTGATTACCTGGTTTAAAGTACACATACATTTTCGAGTGATATTTTAACCAATTTACTGATGCGTTTTGATTCGGTGGAACCACTTTCCTATGTTACGCCGCGGTTCCGGTTTGGTGATTTTCAAACGCAATCGCGAAGATATTCGCTGTTTTTTTTGATCAGAATTTTACTAGTCTCGCGTGAAAGTTGAACCTACCATCTGTTGTGAAATAATAACTTTTACGCTTAGCGTTAAGATGCGATATCGTCGTATAGGTAACGATTAAAGTGTGAACACAATTACGGGGAAACAAACAAAACTAAAGAGTTTTCAGCGCGGCAATAAAGTAACGGTGGACACGTAAGTAGTACCTTACTGCGATTATTTAGATCAATTGAAAGTGATTCTGATCAGTTTTTTGGACATTAATTTCTAGTCAACTCTTTTAACATTGGATCATGTGTCTTAAAATATTTGCTATCTAGTCTGATACAAGTCTAATTCCCACTCAATATTCCCTTCAAAAGTGACGACTTTCTGAGAAAACGTGTATCATGGGAAACCATCTTAAACAAACCATAGTGATTGATTTGGGCTCAGGAGACACCAAAGTTGGCTTAGCTGAAGAAGATTATCCATCATGCACAATTCCTACAAGAATTTCATGCGATGAGTCGACGACTAAAGGGTTTTACTTCGACCAATCCGCGATCAGTTCTGAGGAGTGCACTTATCCAATACACCATGGAATAATTCAGAATTTCGAACACGTTGAAAGTCTGTTGGAGCATGTTTTCTCAAAGGAACTCTGTTTAAAGTATGAAAAATCAACGATTTGATTACCGAGAAGTGCATAATAAAATAAATGTACTGGTTCAAATTGCGCATTTTTAGGCCGCAAGATCATCCACTTTTGCTAACTCAGCCGCCAAAGAATCCCCAAAGAGATAAGGAAAAACTGGCAGAAATGATGTTTGAAAAGTTCGCCGTTCCTGCATTGTATGAAGAAATACATTCCGTTTTAACTTTCAATGCAGCAGGTTTTATACTAGCAATTACACATATCCATCCACATCTAAAACAACGTTTTCAGGAAGATCGACTGCTTTAATTGTAGAAAGTGGACATGGTGTTACTAGCGTAGTGCCAATTCTCAGTGGCTACGTTATTTCTGACGCAGTCTTAAGGCTCGACGTTGGTGGAGGCGATATTGATCAATATCTTGCCAAAATTTTGTCTGAGAAATCGCAGGAATGTGAGATCAGGTATAATCCACTTTCAAACACGAGTTCAATCATGTTAGGTTTGCCTCCAAATTTAGACCGGAAGAAGCAAGAATCCTGAAGGAGAACTTATGTTATGTGCCAGACTGCGGCAGTGCCGAAATAGAGGAAGAAAGCTATTTGTTGCCAGATGGGAGAAGAGTCGTCCTTGGTAAGCAAGAGCTAATCAGAAATAACGTATGTTGTGATGCTCTTTTTGCTTACAGGACAAGAAAGAGTGCTTGCGACGAATCCCCTCTTTCAGCCCTTCTTGGTCGAGCAATATGACACGCCTGGAATTCACGAGATGATTTTCCAGTCGATATTCAAATGTAGCGTTGACCTAAGACGGGCTTTTGCCAATAATGTTATTCTATCTGGTGGTAAGCTTATGACAAAAACGATGGCAAGGGACTAACAAGGAAAGTTGCCAGCCGTTTAACTCGCTATGGAGTCTGAAAACTAGCTAGCAGGTATTGAGGGTGTATAAACATATTCAAAGAGAGGAGAAACTACTCTGCTTAAATGTAATATAATTTTACTTTTCCAATATAGTATACACACTAAATAACCGCTAGATTCGTTGAAGTCCATCCGGTGTGTTCACACCTACTTGCCTCCTATTCTACTTTTTAAAGCTAATTATTTCTTTATTCAGGAAACACCCTGTTCAACGGTATAGAAGACCGGCTGAAACAGGAATTGGAAACTAGAGTACCCCCCACCATGAAAGTAAACGTAATCGCTAGCAAAGACCGAAACATTTTCGTGTGGCGAGGTGGTTCTATTTTGGGTTCACTCAGCACCTTTGTAAAAAACATATGCATATCTCGCACGGAGTATGAGGAATTTGGCATTTCGGTAATTCGAAAAAAATGTGCAAATCAATTTTAGAAGAAATGCTATTAATTCCCAGCCATGCACAAGTTTCTTTGCAACGGACATTTGGCCAATTTAGCACCATGGTTGAAGTTAATAAGCGTAATTTGGCACAAATGGGCTAGTCATTGTTAGTAAATACACGTACAAAGAGGTGAATTAGTCATTTACGTTTATATTGTATACAAGATCCTATTGGAACAGTGTGGGACCTAACAAATCAATAGTCAAATCAAAACTTAACGCTAGTTTCATTTTATATACCTTAATAACTGAATATGTCTCTGGCTAATAAAAATGTAATATTTATGTATGTATTAAGACTTAAAGTATTAGAGCAAATAAACCTTATTTTGAGCTATTTACACACTTTATCTACAATTTGACTGAAAACCAGTGCTGCTGGTGAGTTAGGCAGTTGTTTAATGCAAGCTATGCCCAACATCTCACCCACCCGGGGATCAATAGGCAGAGAGCCCAAAAAAGGTATTTTAGATAGTTGAGCTAACGACTCTCCACCTCCCTTGCTAAAGATGTTTGTACATTCTGTGCAGTGAGGACAAACAAATCTGAAACATAGCGAAGCTTCTTTATGGTGTTTCAAGTTAATTTGAATTATATATCAATTCGTAACTCCTCCAACTTCAAGCCAAAGTAAGAGTAAAAGTCAAAACAGCTATACTTAGTTTCAATATGGAGAAACTTACCCACTCATGTTCTCAATTAACCCGAGGATCGGAATGCCGGTTTTCCTACAAAATGTGATTTCCTTCCTCACATCTTCAATGGACATTTCTTGTGGGGTCGTGACAATCACAGCCCCATCGCACTTAATGGTTTTTAGGTTTTCCATCACTGTGATGTGTTCATCGGAAGTGCCAGGAGGAGTGTCTTAAGGCACAGAAAACATCTTTATTTGTGAAAAAGTGCGTATTCTTGGTTGTAACACACCTATGATAAGATAATCTCGTTCTCCCCAACGCACATCCGTAAAGAACTGTTTGATCATTGCAGTCTTTTTGGGGCCGCGCCAAATTACCGCTGTGTTTCTGTCGTTTTGAAGAAATCCTATGGAAATGACTGCCAAATTTTGACTGTCGTCCGCGAAAACTGGTATCCATCTGTGATTAGTAAGAGAAGAAAAATTACAATTGACAACTTTATAGCTAAAAAATAATTATTTTTCAGATACTAAGTGTTTGTTTCTTACCCTCCGTCAGCATTATGTACAGCTTTGCCTTCCAACTGTAGTAAGTATGGAACACTGGGACCACATAGATCTACGTCCAATACGCCAACCTAAGGCAGTTAAACTTATTAGCTATCGAAACACTATCAGTCAAGACTGCTATTCCAACTCTATAAACGCACAAAGCTTACTGACAAGTTTTTACTAGGTATGGACACTGTTCTGTTCTGTTTTGCTTAACTCTTTTGCTTCAAAGCCTTGCTATTAAGATACCTATAGTGTTGCGTACCCGAAATCCCCTTTCCACTAGTGTTAGTGCCAACTGGGTGCTAACAGTAGACTTCCCCACACCGCCTTTTCCAGATAGCACTAAAATTATATGTTTTACACCGTCCAACATCGCGATATTCTTTCAGAGGTGATCGTGTCGTTTGCGTCCCTCCGAATTTTTAGCTTTTTCTAAAACACAAACTGGAAATTCGCTTTTCCAAAACCACTTATTTATGCGCGAAAATGAGATTGTCCCGTGCTATATGCTATTAAATCCCGTTTTAGGAATCAACAATTCAGCAACTTCAACATACAACAAACTTCAAACCTCGGCAATTGATTGAGGTTAGAAACACTTGTCTTCATCTATGACATAGATTAGTTGCGATGTTGTTTCATTTTACTTACCGTTACTTTGACGACTTTTGAGGGCTCTGATGTAAATTTGATTTTATATATTTGTCTTGCGATCTGTAGTTTCATAGCGAATGCTTGAATTGTTAGATTGTGGTTTACGTTTTCGGTTTGTAGCGTATTCAAAAGTTTGATCATAGAGAAAGTAAAATAATATACTTACTTACTTCTTTATATATTCTTCTTTTATATTTTTCGTTTTGTTTGAACTATTCATTCCCCATTTTGTCCAGACACTAAGTACTGCAGGTAGCGAGCAAATATCAGGAGCAGGGGTTTAACGTAATTTTTTTGTCGTAGATAAAAAAAAACCACCCTGTATATAAAGCTATTTGGCAACGACGTAAGTTCGTATTTTAGAAGCCCTGCTTCTATTTTATTACTGCATTTGAATATAAAATATTTCATTTTCAAAGTTTATTACATATTGTTAGGGTTGATTTTATTAGAACTACGATCGATAACGAATCCAATGGTATTTATTCCACGCTTCGACCGTTCGCACACAATCATTAATAACAAACCCCTGGCAACGCCCACCAGTTGTTTATATCCACAGAATGCCCCCCTTGGGATATTCTGTGGCGTTGTCCCAACCATGAAGTCGCCCCGATGTTGCCACTCCCGTCCTGGGTGTGTCCGCCTACCAGCGTTGCCGCTTTCGCCGTGGTAGTTCCATGTCCCCTGTCCATGATTACAATATATTTAACCACGGAACATCGCACCATTGAGATGTTCTATATATTTAAATTGGCAAATAAATAAATATTTATTATTATTATTCGTATTATTTAACGAAATTAGAAAAGGGCGTGTCCATTTCCATGGAAACAACGTATGCGATTCACAACAGTATGCGAATCTGATCCGAATAAACCTTCTGTTAATAATTGTCGTTATAAAACTAGCGATTTTCTTAGATTCAACGATGGTAAGATGTAATTTAAGTTAAGATACTTTAAAGTTTATTAATTGGAACTGTTACAGATCTTGAGCCGAGCAAAACCCGCTTTTTCTGCAAACTCTGAAAAGGCTCCAAGTGATAATAAGGAGCAAGCTGGAGAAAAGAATTACTTGCAATTTGAGGGGCTCCTCTTGGCTAGGGATTACACAGGCGCAATCACCGTTTTAGAGGTACCTATGGGAAACTATTACCCATGATACAATGACTGGTGATTAATGCGTTAAATAATTACATTCTTCTACTCTACTTACCGTCTAGAAAAACTATATTCTGGCAAAACCTAAGCCATATTCACACATTTAATAATCTACTTAGATACAAACATTTCAAAAAACAGTAATTTTTAGTAGATAAGTATATCTAAAGGCTAAAGCCAAACACCACTCTTTGCTAAAACTGTACCTCCAAATCATCCCGATATTTTTGCATACAAAATCCTACTATAATATAGTTGTTTGTAGTTTAAAAAGTATCCAAGCCAAGATTATAATGTCAGCTTGTGGATAGCCTATTGCTACTTCCACAAAGGAGACTACAAGAGCGCTCTTCACATATATGAAAAACTGTATAAACAGAAAATCGATGTTAAAAACCTGGAAGTTAATATCGCCTGCTGTTATTTTTATTTGGGTAAAATGTATTGCCAATGTTTGTCGAAACGACACTATAAAAATACCATTTATCTCTGCCTGTAGGAATGTACGAAGAATCTCATGAAATGCTCCTGCAAGCCCCTACTGGCGATCTGAAAATTCGTCTGAACTTCCACATTTCTCATAAACTGAAGGACGAGGCGTCTCTCATGGAAAACCATCAAAATTTGCAGGACATTTTAGAAGATCAGCTCAGCTTAGCTGCCATACACTATTTGAGAGCTCATTATCAGGAAGCCATTGACATTTATAAGCGACTACTTATTCAAAACAGGTAGATTCTGCGAAGGATTTCCGATTTTTTATTAATAAAACAAATTCAATCATAGAGAAAATATAGCCCTGAATGTGTACGTGGCACTTTGCTATTACAAATTGGATTATTATGATGTATCGCAAGAAGTTCTAGGCCTTTATCTCAATCGGTATCCGGACTCCGTTATTGCAATCAACTTGAAAGTGAGTATTAGCGCTTTAGTTAGTTAGTAGTGCTTTAGTTAGCTTGTATTGCTGTACTTAGTGTCAGATGTTTAGGCATGCAATACATTCAGGCTATACAATGGAGCGACAGCGGAAACCGAACTTAGGTCAATTGTAGACCAAACAGTAAATGTTGGATTTGGATACGACTTGGTCAAGCATAATCTGGTGGTGTTTAATGATGGCGAAGATGCTATGCAGGTACAAAATAAACTGAACTTACCGCGCCGTTAAATTAAATATCTCAATTGCATATCAATATCCCACATTAAGGTATTTCCAATTTTGGTTGATGTTGTGCCAGAAGCTAGACTCAACTTGGTAATACATCATTTGCGAATCGGGGATCTCAGAGAAGCATATGAGCTGCTGAAAGACACGCAACCAGCAATACCGCAGGAATATATACTGAAAGGCGTGGTCAATGCAGCTTTAGGTCAGGAAATTAATTCGGTAAGTAGTTAAAAAGGTACCTTCTCTATTTTTCCGTGGTTACCAGAGTATTTAATAATTACGAAGCAACAGGTTTTTACATAATGTTAATTAGGCAATTACCTTGAAAAACATTGTTGCCATCCTTCTGATCTAGTTTTTTGCAAATTTCTGTTTTTAATCACAATTAATTTGTTTTACTATGTTTCTGGACACCTAAAACGGAAAAAAGGAATGACGCACATTTTGAATCACCCTGTAGATGCCAGGGGCGGATCCAGCTTTAAAGTCAGGGGGGGG